CAGGGTCCAGCAGATGAGCTCCCTGGCAGCCCCTACGTCATCACCTCCCGCCACTCCGAGCGTGTCGTGGCCTCCCTTCTCTGATCATCACGTCGCTGAGGATTCCATCCGATCTCTCTGTCCTCCGATCTGGGTTGGAGAGGGGCGGTGACAGAGAGAGAGGCGGAAATGGCTCGAGACTGAGATAATCTTAACCACCAGAATCGGATGGCAATACCACATAATCTCAACCATTAGAATCGGATGGCAATGAATTTAGTCTCAACCAACAGACTCAGATGTGAAATTTGTCAAATTGTCAATACCACATTATTGATGTTTTCATCCAGCTAATGAAAAAAAACCACAGAATGTAGTAGAAACGAAAATTACGAAAACTGCAGATATGTCCAGCGACAGCCACTATTTCATCAACAGACAAAAATTACAAAATTTGCAGATTTGTCCAACGACCGCCAAGAACTCACCCATAGTTTACCGCTTCTTCGGCTTGGGCTGCGCCGACCCTTTCCCTGCCCCTTTCTTCGACTTGGACTGCGCTTGCGCCGACCCTTTCTTCTGCTTGGGCTGCGCTAGCGCCGGCTTCTTGCTGGCCGTTTTCTTCTGTTGGTCCTCCCGGCGCTTCTTTCTACTGCGCGCGGCAAACAATCTTATGATGCCTGATCCATTTCTCCATTTGTCGACACTCCTTCATGTCGCAGGTCAGGCACTTGAAGAGCACACATAGATCCACAACAGGGGCATCGTCCACGCCCGGACCCCCTCGCCGACCGCGGTGCTCGCGCACCACCGCGACACGTTGGCCCCACCACCTCGCCTCGCCGTATGCGCCGTGGAACCCATCCTCCACTCCGTCTCCCTCTCCCTCTCCCTCTCGTTGAATCAATAGGAGCACCAGCACAAGAGTACACTGTAGCACAGCGATGGTGTGTGCATTAACCATGCACGCAGTCATTAGATGTACAGCTGAACGATCAGGCACGTCCCCAACAGAGCAAGTAGCAGCAAGCACGCGCCCAGACAACAGCAGCATGCTCATCGTGCGAATTCATTGCGCTGGGCAAGCACACACATAAACAACGGCACGCAGCCGAGCTCACCACCGCGCCCAGCTTCACCTCCCCCGCTACACGCCGCACCACTGCCTGCTCGCATCGTCCCGTCGCCTGTGCTGCACCGCCCCTGCTCGCCTCGTCCCGTCGCCCTGTGCTACGACAGAGCCAAGCAGCTGCAAGTAGACGCTCGCCGACGCTCGCTAGCTGCCGCTCGGAGCACAGCGCCGCCATTAATGGCGAGCTGCAAACTCAACCGAGCGTTGGCACAGCTCCGCTCCTCCGGCCTATAAAAGCCGGCGCCGAGCAGCACTCCATCACCACTCGAGCTCGCCGAGCCATCCCGTGACGCTGCTCACCTTCCACCCCCTCAAATCGAGCTTCCTCTGTTTCCCCGAGCTTCAGCTCGCTCCGTCGATCTCCCTCTCGGAGCCGTAATCCACCGAGGTAGCTAACCTGTTGGAATCCCCTCATGCTCCTCTCCCTCCCCATGCCCTTGGATTCGGAAATAGCAGCCGAAATCGCCGCTGGGCGAAGCTCCGGCAGTCGTCCATGGCGGACGTGCCCGAGGAGCACGACGCTCTGTCTCTGTCTCTGTCTCTGTCTCTGTCTCTGTCCTGTACCTCCCTTCTCCCTCTGTCATTTATTCCCACAGCAACCGTGAAGCCCAGGACCAAAAGCCAAATACGCCAGTTCCCCTCACGTCGCCGTGAGCCAGGGGGTGTCCCCTCACGTCGCCGTGAGCCAGGGGGTGTTTGTTCCCTAATCGCTGCTAAAATTCATGTCACGTCACATTGAATATTTAGGAGTATTAAATATAAATTAATTATAAATTAATTATATAGATGGAGGCTAATTTGCGAGACAAATTTTTTAAGCCTAATTAATTCGCCATTAGCACATATTTACTGTAGCACCACGTTGTCAAATTATGGACTAATTAGGCTTAAAAGATTCGTCTCGCAAATTAGTCACAAGTTGTGCAATTAGTTTCATAATTAATCTATATTTAATATTCCATGCATGTGTCTAAACAGTCGATGTGATAGGAATTTTAGGAGACCCTGTAGAAACCAAACAGGTCCTCCCATCCATTCATTACTTAGGGGATATTTGGTTCGAGCTACTAAACTTTAGTAGCTACTAAATGGTTTAATCACTTTTAGTAACTACAGAGTTACTAGAGAGGACTAAAATTCTTTTAATAGCTTTTAGTCATAGTATTTAGTTAAAAAATTACTAAAATAACTAAAAGCTACTAAATTTAGTAGCTACTAGACGAACCAAACATGCCCTTATTCTTTTTCTCCTTCCTAATGAACCAGCAGCAGCACGTGGCCACACCCAAGCACTAGTCACATTCCATTCAGGGGCCACCTTACACAATTAATATCTCCACCATGCTAACCCCGATTCCATCACTTCTTCTTCTTAAATTCATCTAAAAGTCAAACTCTATCCATCCATAAAGTTTCATAATTTCTAGAGCTCATTTGAATTTATGTGATTATTTATTTGTGTTTGTTTCGATTGTTTACGTGTCGTTGGCTGGAGTGACCAAGGGAGCGAACCACGATCTTGGTGGCCAGGACGAGTTTGGAGGCGAGTACCGTGAGTTCGACGTCAAGACCAAGGGCGCCGACGAAGGCAAGTCCAGCCTATTCCCTTTTGATGCATGTTGATCCTATTTTCAAACACAATCCGTAGAAGCTATTTTAAATATTGCATGTACGATTATACGTACGAAGTATTTTTGCTGCTTAGCTAAAATCCGGTTTAATAGCCATCCTTGAATTGATATGACCTGATAATTGCCTTGCTCAAACTTAAGAATGAATATCATGACATGACAAAATATTGTTATTTAGTATGCTTATGACTTGATACTTATCACGGATACTCGTTACTATGTTTTCTCAAATACAATGATTTTTAAAGAAAAACTATGTGAGTTGTAAAATAAACGGTGGGTATTGTGAAGGGTTAATGAACAAGTTATAGATGGTGATTACCCTAGAAATTGGGTGGATCGGTGTTCCTTTTGTGGGATGACGTGGTGTTGGGTCTTGTACCTTTTTGTGGTTAAGCACAAAAATATCCGCCTTGTCTCGATTAAGGACTGAGTTGATGATTCATCTTGCCTAACTCATTTATCGTACAACCACTCGCCTTGCATGGGAAAGGCTTAGCCTAAATCCCTCTAGTTAGTATGGCAATCACCTGGAGGCAGGTGTGCAACGCGACACTATGAGATATATGTGGAAATTGAGGAATTATATGAAATGTAGTAAGCGCTGTAAATTATTGTATTATGAGATGTGTCCTTAGTGTTCCCATGGTGAGCGCCAGTACTTAGCTATGGAGGGTAATGGCTTTGATGGATCCATGCTTGCACTACGGTGTTAAGTTAAGATACCCTACTTGTAGTGGAAGTATAAACCTCTGCAGAGTGTAAACTCTATCTAGATAGCTGTGTCCACGGTCTTGGATGGGTTATGGTTCGGTTTCAATAACTAGATGGGTTGGGATGAGTGAAAACATGAGAGTGAGTGTGATTTTGGAAATGAATGGTTGTCTGCCATGTGTTGTGAAAACAGGGGTTTAGCAACACCTAAAATTGTGATAAACTCTTTTTCAAAAATATTATTATATATGGAAAATATATGTCTTTTGCAAAGGTATTTATAAAATGAAACCCTGCATGCATTAAAAAGATAGCTTTATGCAAATAAAACCAAGCTTTATCCTTGATTTATCCATATGCATATATTGTTATCTCATTCCGTAGGGTAAGGTTAGATTTGCTGAGTACTTTGTACTCACTCTTGCTTTGTTGTACAGAGAAAGATTCGGACTTTGACCCTGACGTGACGTACGGATAAGGTAGTGTCTGCACCCAACTAAGCCTATGGTATTGGGATTCGCCAAATGTTTGACGATTCCTTTTGTTTTTGGGTCTGTTGAATCTATATTATGTTTTTGTTACTTCTAATCGTGGCATGCCTTCATTGTCCATGCTTGTCAAGACTACTGCACTGAGACTTATCTAATGTAATAAATGTGTTACTAATCTTTCAGGACTACTATTTATATCATATTGGAGTTCGTGAATAACCAGGGCGCTACAATAGACGACCAACATCTTTTAGCAAACTCACAGCCAAAGAATAGACGATCAATGTCCTCACAGTTCCTTGAACAGAGCTAGTACAGTTAGTTGTTGAGTGACATGCAAAGAATTGTCTACAAAAACCAAACGACACGAATATGAAACTTGTATTAAATACTTTGGTTTCCAAACAATGTTAAATGGAAAAGAAATTTCGACTATGAAGTTTTAGATATCATAAAACATGCCTCTACCTATTTTTTTTTTTAAAATTAAATTATAAATTAAAAAAATGAGAACTTAATAAAGTGCAAGATGCTATGGTACAAATTTCGTCTTGTAAAAGATTGGTACCTTAAAACCAAATTTAAGGTGTCAAAAATGTAAATCATAGACCTATTTAAAACCATTAGTGAAATTTACTAATTTATTTATTATGGTACTATAGAGAAAATATAAAGAAGTAAAAACACCTCGATTATTTGGCTACACCATAATATATATAAAAATAAAGAAGGAAAACCAGGTAAAAAACGTACTTGTATAAACAGAGAGGGAAAATTGTAATCTTTTTCTTGTTCATTCCTAATAGAAAATATTATTGCTCCAGTAAAAACTACTGTACTGTACTAGAAAGTGAAGGACTCCGCTCGCCGAAAGTGAAAGAGAGCAAAAAGTCAAAACTCCCGCCTTCCCCACTCTCCTCCCGCCCTCAGCTGAAAACCAAACACCAACAAATTTGGGCGAGCGCGGCGCCAATCCAATCCAATCCAATCCGCGGATCGGATCGCTCGCCGGAGAATGCTTGGCCGGGTTCCGGGAGGAGACGAGCGAGCGAGATGCCGATCGAGATGCCGCGGGGGTTGCCGTTCGCGGTGGACACGTGGACGCCTGCGTCGTCGCTGAAGCGCCACCGCTTCCTCACCCACGCCCACCGCGACCACCTCGCCGGCATCGTCGCCACCTCGGCCGTCTCCGCCTCCTCCTCCTCCCCGGTCTACGCCTCCCGCCTCACCATCCTCATCGCCCTCCGCATCTTCCCCCAGCTCGACCGCGCCGCGTTCGTCGAGCTGGACGTCGGCCACCCGCCGCTGCGCGTCCCCGACCCCGACGGCGACTTCACCGTCACCGCGCTCGAAGCCAACCACTGCCCAGGTCAGCGCGCCGCCCCCTCTTCCTCCTCATTTCCCCTCGTCGATTGGGATAACCGACCGGGCTCATCCGCTCCTCGTTTAACATCCAGGCGCCGTGATGTTCCTGTTCGAGGGCCCCTTCGGCTCTGTCCTGCACACGGGCGACTGCCGCCTGACGCCGGACTGCCTCACCGCCCTGACGCCGCCCCACCTCGCGCGCCGCATCGACTACCTCTTCCTCGACTGCACCTTCGCGCGGTGCGCCCTGCGGTTCCCCACCAAGGAGGACTCCATCCGCCAGGTGATCAACTGCGTCTGGAAGCACCCGAGCGCGCCGGTGGTGTACCTCGTCTGCGACATGCTGGGGCAGGAGGACGTCCTCATCGGGGTGTCCAAGGCGTTCGGGTCCAAGATCTACGTCGACAGGGAGAGGAACTCCGACTGCCACCAGACGCTGACGCACGTCGAGCCGGAGATCCTCGCGGCCGACGACGCCGCGGCCTCCACCCGCTTCCACGTCATCCCGTTCCCACGGCTGTCGGAGCGGGCCACGGAGATCCTCGCGCTGGCGCGCGCCGCGCACCAGCCGGAGCCCCTCATCATCAGGCCCTCCTCGCAGTGGTACGTGTACTACGACCCACCGCCACCGGAGGAGTCGGCGTCGACGCAGCAGCAGCAGCAGAAACCGGTGCTGACGGAGGCGATGCGCGACGAGTTCGGGGTCTGGCACGTCTGTTTGTCGATGCACTCGTCCCGGGACGAGCTGGAGCAGGCGCTGGGGATCCTCAAGCCCAAATGGGTCGTCTCCACCACGCCGCCGTGCATGGCGGTGGACCTCAGCTATGTCAGGAAGCACTGCTCCCTGTCCCGGTTTGGCCCTGATGATCCCCTCTGGATGTTGCTCGGGATACCTGATGGAATGTCTACTGTCACCGGCTCGCCGCAGGCGATGCTGCTGACAGCACAAGCTGTCGAGAAGAGCGACCAATTGTTCAGTTCTTGCGTTCATGAGTGTGCCTCTGATGATGACAGCCAGGTAGTAGAGGAGGTTGCAGAAGCAGCAGTGATTGATTTTGAGATCAGAGTTGAGCCGCCTGTCACGCTTTTCGGAAGTGCAAGGTTCGGATTACCGCAACATGAACCTGAACTGTGGAACTACGAGTATGAGAGTGTTGAGATCATTGGTGATGTTGAGCTTGAAGTCAATGATTGTGCCGCTGAACCTGGGTTTTGTAGCAATAACAAGCCTATTGAAGTAGTTGAGTTAACTGAAGCTGCAACAAAGGAGCAGAATTCAGTTTCTGAATCTGGGTTTTGTAGCAATAGCAAGCCTGTTGAAGTAGTTGGGTTAACTGAAACTGCAACAAAGGAGCAGAGTTCAGTCTATGAATCTGAGTTGTTGAAGGACAGCAAATCTGATGATCGAGTAGAAGTAGTTGATTTAACTGAACATGGAAGGAAATATCTGAATTTGAGGGCAGAGAGTGAACAGAGTAATAAAGATGACAAAGGGAATGGAGAGTCTGAATCGGGGCTCAAGAACAGAATCTGAATGTTCATGCTCGTTTGATGGAAGTTTGCAGGCATAAGGTGACTGGCAAAGGTAAAGACAGAATGGAAGTGACTAAATCGATCTCAGCTGTGCATGTTACAGTTTCAGCTACCGAGGAGGACACCATTATTACATCATCAGGAGTTGAGAAGAACTCTGATAGGTATTCTGAAAGGGCGAGCGATTCTTCAACCGTTGTCGGATCATCAAAGGGCCTTAATGCGAACCTGAGGAGGCTGTACAGGTCGATGAACTTGCCAGTTCCATGGCCCCTGCCATCTCTTGTTGGGCTCATGGCGGCTTCCAAGCGACCCAGAGTTTCTCAGACTGTGCAGCTGTAGGCTTCTAGCAGTTTTCAGTCTTCTGTTGCTGTAAAATGAAACCCAGTTCTCTGTTGCACCTGTATTGCTAGTTTGTGCATTGTGGCTCAAAAATGAATTCAGATTGATTTGTTCTGTGAAGAGTCAAATTGGGGATCTCAATCATTCTGAATGTGTTATTTTCCTTCATTTTTCTCTGTTCTACCTGTGCTGCTGCTTGCCATTTCTCTGTTAACAAAAACCAAGGGAAAAACTTAACATTTTTTTTTTTCAGGAATGAAAAACCTTTTTTATAAGAAACTGCTTCTATTAAATCAAGAACATCTTACATGCAGTAAGAGAACATTATCCCAGTGCACACAGACTGCAGGGGTTGTATTACGGGCATGATTGCCTATGATTGAGCAAGGTTTGAGCAAACAAGAAGAGGAAAAATTACTAGAAAGGGTCCTAGCTTGAGTTGCTAGAGAATGGGAAGTGATATTTTGACTTCTGTGATTTTTGTAAACCTGATGTTCCACCTCTCTGTTGTTGCTCTTGAACTCTGTTAAGAGAGATTTCAGAGTCCAGTCTTGTAGTCCCGATGGAGAGTGACCTGACAGAATGTTAACGAGATAGCTGTTGTAGTGTTCAGCAGAGCCTTTAACAAGTCTAATTATGCAAAAAAAAGAACTCAAGTCTGACAGAAACATTCAGAGATGAGAGATTGCCTGGATGGATTCCTCCCTGTTCCAGGATGCAAATCAGGGGGCAATTTGCAAAATCTTGGACTGGGATATTTGCAAACTGTCTGCTCCGTTAGGTCAAGAGATGTGCGGCCCAGATTGATGGATATTTGCAGATTACTCCACACGAGAGGAGGAAAGGCTGGAAGAGAAGGCGGGCACGTTTGCGGCGGCCAAAACCCCAATCCAGTTCCATTCCAATCGCCGAGAAGGGTAGGAAAAAAAAAGGAAATCGATGGCGGCGGTCGGCGGCGAGAACAGCGGCGCGGGCGAGGGGGAGTTCTACCTGCGGTACTACGTGGGGCACAAGGGCAAGTTCGGGCACGAGTTCCTCGAGTTCGAGTTCCGCCCCGACGGCAAGCTCCGCTACGCCAACAACTCCAACTACAAGAACGACACCATGATCCGCAAGGAGGTCTTCGTCTCCCCCTCCGTCCTCCGCGAGGCCAGGAGGATCATCCAGGAGTCCGATGTATGTGGGCGCTCCCATTTTTTCCCCCCTTGTTCATTCATCAGCGATTGGGTTCTCGGTCTCTCACGAAGACCTAGCTAGGGTTTGCGAGCGACTGAAGAGCGGATTTCTTTTTTGATTTGATTGGTTGACCCCCACCCCCACCGCAGATCATGAAGGAGGACGACAGCAACTGGCCCGAGCCCGACCGCATCGGCCGCCAGGAGCTCGAGATCGTTATGGGCAACGAGCACATTTCATTCACCACTTCCAAGATCGGCTCCCTCGTCGATGTCCAGTCCAGCAAGGACCCGGAGGGCCTCCGGATCTTCTACTACCTCGTCCAGGTTCGACCTCAACCACCAGTTCCGCCCACAAATACCGACATTGTTTGTTCACTGTGGCCCTCCAGAATTTTCATGGCTCTAGCCTCTACCTTGCAATATATTGATAACATTTACATGAGCCGTAAGATAGATCATTTCTGTGGACTTGTGAGGACACCTGAATTCTCAGATTCAGGACAACAAGCAACTAATAATATGATTGTGACTTGTGATTTGTAAAGGACACCTGAATTCTTACATTCAGGACAACAAGCAACTAAGAATATGCTTGTTTGTTCTATTGTGCAGTTTATACTACTGGTAACTTTCAGAAGTAGTATGACCTTGATGTTAGATTGTAGCTTAGCCAAACATTGGTTCGTGTTCACCACAGACTTGGGATGAGACATCTTTATTTATTTTATTTATGCTGTTCAGATCTTATGCTGAAATTATGTGCAGCAGAGAAATAATGATTAAATTGAATTGATTAGCTGCTGAAGCTATTTGCAGATAGTAGGCTGTAGGCATCATTTGTTCATGCTTTTTAAGCAATGGTGACCCGTGGACATACCAGAGGAATATTTAAATCAAGTTTAAATTTTTAGATCAACAAGTTTCTTAGTAGGAGAAAGATGTTACTTATCTGCCCTAGGATAATTGATTTTATACTAAAACTGAAGAAAACTGCACAATGTAAAGAAAAGAGTCGCCCCTCTGAGGTGAACTGTTTCTTGGCAACATTTAGTTCCATATGGCCCATCATTCTGTACTCATCAAATCTGATAAAAAGATTTTTGTTATGTGAAGACACATTAGCCTTTCCTTTTTAAGCCCCTTGTTGGAGTTTTAGCAGAAAAATGTGCCATTTTTTCTTTTGAAAAGGATCTTGGTTTTCTGAGTGTTTCTTTACATGTCATACTCAGTAGTTTGAAAACTGTTGTATCTATATTATCATGTGTTTTTTTCCAACAAAGAGGGTGGGGAGGGGAGCATTTTGGGATCAGTACTATACCTATCATATATATGCTCTTCATCAACATAATCTGAATAATATCCCACAGTTTCACTTCCTGGGGCACTATAAAGTTCTTGGATGCAGGGGAAAAGTATGGAAACTGGTTTTATGTTTGTCTGGCACTACCTTTCTTCTAGCAACTTAGCCACTTGTGCACTTTACAGCCTAACAATCCACTTAGATGTCAAAGCGTGATTTCTTTTGTTGTAAATATCTAGAGTTGATGGATAATTGCTGTTTCTTTGAAGCTTAGTCAAATGCCATGGTTTTTTTTTACACAGTAGATCTGACTGAGCCCATAAGAAGTGGTGGTGGCGTGTGTGTGTTGTGGGGGGGGGCATTTTGGGAACACTTGACTATACCTGACATATATATGCTCTTCATCATCAATCAACACAACCATATCCCACAATTTGACTTCCTGGTGTCATGTAATGTTCAAACCGGATGCCAGATGCAGGGCATCACTTTAAAACCTACCAGTCCACTGAGATGCGAAAGCATGGTTTCGTTTGTTGTAAATATGTAGAGTTGATGGATCATTGCTGCTTGTTTGAAACATGGTCAGGTGCCATGGTTTTTACACAGTAGATCTGATTGAGCTCTTGATAGGTCAAGCATAATACATGTGAATACTTTCCTGAGGAAATAATTTGAGGTTAGATAAACAGCTATTGGTTCAGTTGGTTGTTTCTGAAACTAGAAATGTTTTTTTTGGAGATCAGGAGGGTTTACCCCTTACTGCTAATAAACATAGACAAAAAAAGATAGCAGAATACAAAAACAGACTTTAAGAAATGTAAAAGAAACAAAGAAAATAAAAAATACCATGTTATTAGAAAATAGCTAGTATAGATAAAATGTATCTTTTGTTATGCCTCCGCTGATGATTGTTGTTATTTTCTATGGTTGTGTGCAGTCTTAATTTGGGTACTGTTTTCAAATTAACCAATTGCATCCCCCTAGTGTAGATGTGATTATGTCAATATGTCCTTAAACCTATGTTGGGCTAACTTAGTGAATCATGTTGATTTATGGCTACATTATAAGCTGGGGTTGGATCATGGTTTGGGGCTTGTAGTTTGAACATGGTCCAAGGGCCTGCGATGAGCTGGATAGCTGCTGTTTGGTTTGAATTCTTCTGATTGAGTTTAGTTAGCGAAGATAAAAAGTATGTGTGCTCATTGAATCTGATAAAAAAATTTGTTGTGTGAGGGCACATTACCCTTCCCTTTTCTTTAAGCCCCTTTGAGTTTTAGCAGCAAAATGTGTCCCATTGGAACACTTTACTATACCCGACATATATATGCTCTTCATCATCAATCAACATAACAATATCCCACAATTTCACTTTCTTGGGGCATGTAAAGTTCAAACCGGATGCAGGGAAAAAGGATGGGCAATGGTTTTACGTTTTTTCTAGTACTACCTTCTTCAAGAACTTAGCACTATGAAACCTAACGATCCACTTAGATGCCAAAGCATGGTTTTTGTTGTAAATATGTAGAGTTGATGGATGATTGCTGTTTGTTTGAAACATTATCAGATTTTTACACAGTAGATCTGATTGAGCTCATGATAGGTCAAGCATAATACATGTCAATACTTACCTGAGGAAATAATTTGAGGTTAGATAGCAGCTATTGGTTCAGTTGGTTGTTTCTGAAACTAGAAATGTTTTTTTGAGGGATCAGGAGGGGTTGCCTGTACTGCTAATAAACATAGATAAAGAAAAAGATACAGAGTTTAAGAAATGTAAAAACAAACAACAACAACAACAACAACAACAAAGCCTTTAAGTCCCAAACAAGTTGGGTAGGCTAGAGTTGAAACCCAGCAGAAGCAATCAAGGTTCAGGCACGTGAATATCTGTTTTCCAAGCACTCCTATCTAAGGCTAAGTTTTTGGGTATATTCCATCCTTTCAAGTCTCCTTTTATTGCCTCTACCCAAGTCAACTTCGGTCTTCCTCTGCCTCTCTTCACGTTACTATCCTGGCTTAGGATTCCACTACGCACTGGTGCCTCTGGAGGTCTCCGTTAGACATGTCCAAACCATCTCAACCGTAAAAAGAAACAAAGAAAATAAAAAGGATAATGCTATTAGAAAATAGCCAGTATAGATAAAAGGTATCTCCGGTTATGCTCTGTTGATGATCATTTTATTTTCTATGGTTGTGTGCAGTCTTAATTTCGGTACTGTTTTTAAATTGACCAATTGCATCCCTCTAGTGTAGATGTGATTATGTGAATGTCCTTAAACCAATGTTGGCCTAGCCTGGTGAATCATGTTGATTTATGACTACATTATAAGCTGGGATTGGATCATGATCTGGGGCTTGTAGTTTCAACATGGTCCAAGTTCCTGCGATGAGCTGGATAGCCGCTCCTGACTGTTTGGTTCAAATTCTTCTGAAAACTTGTATTTTATTGTAAGGAAAAAAAAATGGTACTTCTGTCATGCACAGGACATGGCACTGTAAAAGAGATGTATTCCTAACTTTCCCTCTTAATGTTGTTGTCCTGCAGGATCTGAAGTGTTTCGTGTTTTCACTCATCAACCTCCACTTCAAGATCAAGCCAATTCAGTCTTGAGCTCCATCCCAAGCCTTCATGTAACTGTTTTATGAGACTGCGAGTGTTTTAAGAGAGAACCTTGTACCATGTAAGATGCTGTTGAGCTTGTGAGCACTGGGTGGAAGTGGAACCTTTTGCATTTGGATTGTGCAAACTGCTTAGTAGTGAGTGTGATATTTATGCCTTTTTCAGTTTTCTGTTGGGTGGACTGTTGTCGTTAGGCACACTATTCTTCTCAGTTGTCAGTGCTCTGCTGAAGGAGGCACATCATGGTAATGGATGGATGCCTAGATTGTTTGGTGTGCCTCGAACAGTCGGACTTGTGGTGATCCAGATCCTGCCAATTGCCATCACAGGGTGGTAACTGCTGCTGTGAATTTCTCCAGTGGGGTTGGCTGCTAAAACTGATGGACTCGCCAAAGGCAGTGCAAGGAGCCTTTGGTCTTGTTTAAAGCCGTACAGCTGTAGAAGAATCTGTGTGTGTTTGTGATTAAAGTTGTCCTGCCTGCCAGTTGGTCTTTGATCTGATGCGCACTGTCTGTTTAATGTAACAGCAGTGGTGACCGACCATCCATGGACGTGGATGATGCCGTCCTCTCTTTGCAGGAGCGGAGCTGAGCTGAGCTAGGTACTCAGCTTCCTTTGCTATGTTACTTTTGGCTTTGGGGATTCCTCGTCCTGTATGAGGTGCTATGTTACTTTTGGCTTTGGGGATTCCTCGTCCTTTATGAGGTATTAGATGATTTATTAAGGTATGGAATACTTAAATAAAACGAGAACAACTGCAACACAAATGTCACATGGTAGAGCTTTTTCTTGCTGTGAGGCTCTGCCATGCTTGTTAAACACAAGGGACGTTGAAATGGGAGCTGAGCGAGGGACCAGAGCAACACAAAGAAGTAGGGACGAGGAACAAGATGCTGAAATCTCTCGGTTCCAGGTGCCCTAAGGCCGCATGTGCCCATGCCATGGCATGCCTCCTTTCTTTGTTGCCTGGCTTTCATCCATTATGATGATTTATCCCCACAATGTAATGCTCTTGAGGCTTGAGATGCGTCGGCATGCAAGCAGGACATGGCCATGTTACCTCACTGCACTGTTGTTATCGCATTGGGGTATGCTTTCCTTCAGATCTCAGCTCTAAAGACCAAATAGTCCATAGAGCAGCACCTGTTAGTGTTACATGCATTGGATGATAAGCTGAGATAAAGCCAATACGTAGCATGCGTCCAGGAAAGATGATGCTGAGATACACCTTTTCTCTCCGTTCCATCTCCATGTGAACTCTTCTTTTGAACTCTCCATGTGAACTCTGTAAATATGTAGAGTTGATGGATGATTGCTGTTTGTTTGAAACATTGTCAGATTTTTACACAGTAGATCTGATTGAGCTCATGATAGGTCAAGCATAATACATGTCAATACTTACCTGAGGAAATAATTTGAGGTTAGATAGCAGCTATTGGTTCAGTTGGTTGTTTCTGAAACTAGAAATGTTTTTTTGAGGGATCAGGAGGGGTTGCCCGTACTGCTAATAAACATAGATAAAGAAAAAGATACAGAGTTTAAGAAATGTAAAAGAAACAAAGAAAATAAAAAGGATAATGCTATTAGAAAATAGCCAGTATAGATAAAAGGTATCTCCGG